CAACCTCCCCGAAGGCAGCACAGTCCTGACACGGGGCCCGGGGACGGGAACGGCCACCTGCCCCAGCACTGACTCTCCCCCCCAGCACCGGCCCCAAGGCCTCCAGCCCGGGGCCCCCGCCGCAGCGCCGGTGCCCAGAGCCTCTCGAGGCCGCAGGGAAACCCTGCAAGGCCAGAGCTGCGGGGCGCGATGTGCCCGACCCCTCTGTGCCCACAAGGGTTACCCCGGGCGCGAAGGGACCCAACTTCTCCCGCTCCCCCCAACAACAGAAAGTTTGGTTAAAGAGGAAAGATTATGGCATTTCCTGCTGTGCGCTCCTGAGGCGGTTCTCTGCTGTCTAATACCGTGGCTGAGCTCATGCTCTTGCTCTTCTCCAGGGAGACACTAACTTGTGACCACTACTGCCCTGCCAGAACGCAGCTAACACCAGCCAGGGGCTTCAACAGCCACAGACAGCGAGGGAACCGAGCACCCTCTGGCTTTCTGACTGCAGATTGTGTTTCAATAACAGACCAAGCTAAAAAGACCACGGCTCAGCTCTTGCCTAGGCTGATTCATGGTGACCAGCATGACAGCAGCAGAGGATAGGCCCAGAGCGCTGCTTTCCATCTGAACCTCACGCTGGAATGTCAACATGACGCCTCCTGGCATCCCCACGTCGCCCCTCCTGTCTCACCCCAGGCCATCGAGGGCTAGGGCAGCTCTCAGCGAGGGATCAGCACGGCAGGGAGACACCGAGGTCGCTGAGTGAGTTAGTGCGACAGCGGCACATGGGGCAGGCGATGCCGCCAGGGCAAGGGCAGCTGGCTTTTTGGAGCCAGGGAGCCACAGGAAGACGCCGTGTCACACTCAACGCATCCGACTCCCTCCACGGCAGGGGACACGCCACGGCAATCATCACGCACAGGCACAGGCCCTCATCACGCAGAGGGAGCTGCAGCCCATGGGGACAGCCGATTGCAGGCTAACCCGGACCTCCTCCAGGCACAAAGCACTGCACAGTTCCCCCATCCCAG